AGGTATCTAACAGGTCTATTTTCGTATTCAACTCGTCGAAATAATATTTCACGTTTCATCCTCTGAATAAAATTCCTAACAAAATGCAAATTCTCCATCCACGTTTCATATATTCGGAGCTTTTTTGCGGTTATTTATTATTTAGACGGACGATAAATTGCCGGGGATATTCTAAATTTAATTAACTTCATTCACCCAGGTAGAAGCTAAACTTAAGCGCTTTCATTTTCATGACTGTAATTCCTATTCCGTTTGAAATAACGTGAATAAATTATATATTTTAAACGAGCAACTTTCATTTTATATCAAGCTTCAATTATTCGAACAAACGAGTAAGACATCCGTTTCAAAATTAAGCACTAAAAGCTTCTCGTGGAGCTTGATATTGTGCTTGAAAAAACAACGATCCACTACTATTTACAAATTTACATGGAGTCAATTTAAATTCGCGTTACTTCCATCCCATTTCCTCTCGTCCATTTGGCTTTGACCAATCTACGCCCGTTGTGGTCTGATTTGCACCAAAAAAAAGCTAAAAAAGGCACGTTCTCTAACAATCTAACAGGCACGTTTGAGCTATATTCGAGCGTTCGGTGATGACATCGAAATTATGCCATTTTTCAAAGTCATAAATGTTTGGAATCCACTGCGAAAATCAATAAAATCGTAGCCAAATAGCAGTAATATTTGCATAAAAATGCAGTGAGTACTTAAATAAGTAATAAGGAAATAAACCCGACTAGAGCTAATACATAAATTAACTATCCTTTTATGCGATAAATAATAGAGTCAAAAATACCTAAAAATAGTCAGAATACAGGAAAATCGCATTAATATCTTATTTGGTGCTTGTTTCGATATAAAAAAACCCTTTATTTTTCCACTGTGATGCGATGTGAAACATTTCCTACTAGCCTTGTCCATTTCTGTGAGGCACATTGACCAAAACATGCATTATTGATGACTTCGGTTGTTGGCCGGAATACAAGTTTGCTACAATTTCTGGTTTTATATCATTTTCAGAGATTATAAATCATACAATCCGAGTACCTACCTACGTGTAAATAATAACAGTTCGAAAGATTCACCTTTGGGTTATAAATTTGTATTTAACAGGACATGACAAAATATCATACGGATTTAAAACAAATTTAATGTAGTTAATAAGGCAATTTTTTGAATAAAATATCACCAAGCATCTGCAGGGGACGGGTATATATGGCGAAAAAATCACCGATATGTATTTTATTTAAATCAGCATCGCATTAAATCGGCGCCTCTGTATTGAATAAACGGCCGGCCATTTCTTTGGGGGCGAAAAGGCCGATGGCGTTTCGTTTTCATTAAATCAAACAATATTTTATAAAGCTTTTTTTCTTTCAAACGGCTGCGGAAGACACCAAAGACAAATTCGACCACTTCTCCTGCCGCTCTGAATACATTGCGAAGTTAGAGCGGCGAATGGCGTTTATAAAGGGCTTTTTCGCTGGCTCTTCGAATATCCGGCGAACTTAAAACTTGGGAAATTTTCGTTCTGAAGAAGTGCAATTTGAACGTCTTAATTTAAAAATAATAAGCAAGTCGGCGGCTTTAGTAATGTCGTTTTCGAAATTTCTGATTCGAAGTTCAACAAGAAATAAACTCGGAAAGTTTGTCAAGGTTTATTATTTCATACATTTTTTATCTCAATCAATTTTACTCGACAATTTAAAAATTTTTTACTACTTAAAAAAAAATTTTTTTTACTTAAAAATTTTAACACCTTCGATTCTCGGCACAATTTTAATAGCAGCAACTTAAAAATAATAAGCAAGTTTAGTAATGTCGTTTTCGAAATTCAACAAAAAATAAACTCGGAAAGTTCCTCAAGGTTTATTAATTCATACATTTAAAATTTCGAAAGCTTCTCGATAATTAATCGGAAAATTAATCACCATAATTAATAGCACCTTCAAATCTCGGCACAATCTTCTGCATATAAAATTATTCCCCTTTAATCCTCCTAGCATAGTTTATTAACTAGAATAGTTTTAAAGAAGTATTAAAACTTTCATTTTCAGCACTTTCTAAGTCATATTATTCGATCCTGCTACCCAAATTACCAGACAGTTTTTTTTGTAAATAACCAAGACAAACGCCCAGCTTTCGGTTTTTTTTTGAGTCGACATTAATCTTGAAAGAAACGCAGGTTGCAACGGCACGAAGTCGAGTAAATATTTTAAATTCTTGTTTCGGATGCACTTTCAAGGGAAATTAACGAAAGGAGAAACGGCCGACGGTGTTTTCAACTGTGTAATCTCGGGCTCTGCGAGTGGAAAGTTTACTGGAAACTTTAAGAGAATAACCTCTTTCGAGCTACTAAGTTTTTATTAGACTTTTGTAGCGACCTTTAACCGCGGGCCCATTTCAGTTCGGATTCGTAAACAGGACCGTTCTCGAACGTTTGATCTGACGATTTAATAGGCTTAGAAGGTAGCCGGATTTGGGTTGAAAATTTATGATGCGAAATAAACGGTTTAGACAAGATTTTATAAACCCTTTGCTTTATTACATATTAAGCTCTGCTACTATTAACTACGAAGTATTAAAATTTTTATCTAAAGTTTCAACAAAAGGATGAAACGTCCAGTAGAATTATTTTTTATTTTAAGTGTAAAATTTATTATTTATTCAACAAAATTGTTCTGCCATCAATCTGTAAGTACACTCGAGTGGTTATTAAAAAATTGCTTCTTTGGGGCCCATCCTGGCCGGGAATTTTATCACCCTAGAGTAAAATAAAATTGTGTTGGTGACTTTCACATGAATATCTTATAAGAAAACTTCCAAAACTGGTGCATAAAAAGCATTCCAAAGCAATTAAAAATTACAATACTTTCTACAACCATTAACTAAAATAGAGAATGGTTAATTTAAATTAAAGATGCAAGTAATCTAAAATGGATCAATATGTGAGACTTCTCATAAATAATTAAAGGTATTCCAACTTTATTCGGTGCTTAGCCGTTCAATTTCCAGAACGTAATCCGCATTAAACGCTTTAGAAAACCCGCTAAATAAATCAAAACGGGATTAGTCGTATGAAAAAGGCCAATTAAAAATTTAAGCGCGAAGATACCGAACTCTTAGGGCTCGATAACGAATCGCCACTTGGTTTATGACACAATTATCTTGAGTATTAACTACATCCTAAAAGTTCTAATGGCCGAAAGGTATAATAACTCTGTAACAGTAAAACAACCATTAGTATTCACGACTGGATGGGAAGAATATTGCGCTTCGCGAGCGAGGAATTGGGGGTTGGAAATGTTATTGTTGGAACGCTTAAATAATCATAAATCCGAAATTATTCGTTAACAATTATTGATATCTAAAAGGGCTTATTTCACAGAGTTTCATTCCAAGTTTTTAACGCATTATCTTATGAGCAAATAATAAAGTTGTGAAACAAATCGCGAGCTCTACAGACTGAACACAATTTATGAATTTAAAGTTAAAATTTTCTCGCTTATTTTTGCACTAGATGTAGCTGTTGAAAATTGGATACAGGCGAACAAAGAAACATCAAACGGGCGATATTTGAAAACGTGAAATAAAACTCTGTTTTTATTAAACAAAGTTCATTTGAACTTTTCTTGAACGTTCTATTACTGAAGCAAATTTCTCAGATGAAGATAGCAGAAACGAAAACGAAGTTTCGTTATAGCTATTTTAAAAAGTCGATGATATTAGTGCTTTGCTCGTAGTAAATTAACTTTAACTAATTAGCACTTCTTTAAAGTTCATCCTAAGATTGAAGCTTTTAACTAGCACTGGATTCCAGTTCATTTAAAATGTAATGGTGAAATCTTGCTAGTCAAATGTCCTTTTTATCTACATGAAAAGGTCTAATTAAGATTTTTAAATTTACTCTAATTAAATTACATCAACAAAAGACAGGTATATCACTCTAAATCATGTATTGAAACTATTTTATTTGTAATAATAATTCCCGTTAAAATAGGACCGTTAATTACTTTATTTAGAAACTTGTTAAAAAGATAGGGTCTTTAATCAAAACTCCATGAAAAGCAGAAAGGGTCTCCCTCAAGGGATAATATCCCTTTAATGAAAGACTTTTGGCCAGCATTAAACCTTTTTTTTTACATTTTCCGTAATCACATTTAGTAGGTTTTCTTTCTTTTGGATTTTACTTTATTTCATTTTTCTTCATTAGGTCCCGCACCGGCCTTATTAAAACAAGACGATTATTCACACTTTGTTAAACCTCGAGAACGCCAGGTAATTGGGACTGAATTATAAATTTTAATCTCTGCCCAAATATAATATTTCTCTCTAGTTTTAAAAAGCCTCTCTGAATATGCATGAACTCGATGATGTGTAAATTCAAGAATTAATTTTTAATAAACCTAAACAACTACAAATTTCACCTTCGCAATATTCTTTCGTTCCCGTGTAATCCACATTTAAAATTTCCGAATATGTTTCGTAAACAATTTCTTGTTGTTTATTCAGTCCGCAATTTCCATTTAGATTTTCTTCCGTTTTCAATTAATTCACTTTTAATTAAATTTCTGTCTCCTCCGTTATTTTTAGGCCCATCCCTTTCCCATAAACGTTACAACTCGCGAAATTATTTTTATATAATTCATTTATGTATAACAATAAAATCGCTTTGAATATGGAAATATTCAAATTCCTTTTCTAATGTATGATAGAAATGATTCAGTTCAAGTGAATGTCAAAGATTACATTTGTATCGAATATTCCGATTGATTGATTGATTGAAATCGAAGTCGAGGCACACAAAATGTGTTAGATAATTAATTAGCGTATTGATTAACCTATACACATCGCTTTAAGTGCTTTGATAAACATAGATGTATAAATTTGAAATGTAATTATTAAGAGAATATTAATGTACAATTAGATGAGAGCTGCCTGGAGTTAGTACAATTTTTTTTGTAGTAGCATTTTGATTGATTTTACAGGAGACTTACCTTGAGCGGAACTGAAAGAATCCGACATTTGCACGGTTAAAAAAATAATAATAACGGGCCATTTCTCCATCTCAAAGAGAAGATTCATGTTTCCAGTTCCAATCGATGAAAATCTCGGCGTACTACACGAATCACGCATGCAAATCGTTGTTTCATCGTAAATTCCGTTCCAAAAGATCGTTCCCGATGGCTATTTACAGCATTCTCCTGGAACAATGAAAGCACGTTTTACATAATAATCCATCTACGTCTAATCGACATGAATATTCATTGATAAAGTTCGCGAAGATCGGTACAAAAATTTAGTTACAATAAACAATCAAAAGCGAATGTATTTTTTTTATCGGGCATTAAAAGAAGCTATGCATCACTTACAATCAGCGGGGATTTATCACAAATTGCTTTTATTCACGAAATTCCCGCGATACTGCAATATAATTTTTTTTAAAGCGTGTTTCAGACGTCCATATTTTACTCATTCTCCTTATCTTTAAGAAATACGAACTTCAAAGGTAGAGAAACCGAGTTGAAAATCGCCTATAAATATTCTAATTTTTTCCCTAAGAATAAACGTCCTGGGGGTCTAGATTTGGGCAAGATAACTTTCTTTTTGTCGCCATTACAACTGAATAAGGAACGGTTTACAAAAGCTTTTGGGCACCTGCCAGACTATAATTTAATATGCAAAAAAAATAGGATTGTTCGCAGTCATTACCACAATAATTAAATTTATCGTTGATAGGAGAAAATGAATTTATGGTCTGCCGCTTTCATTTTGATTTATTATGAATAGCATCAATTAAAAATTTAATAAAACCCCCAACACATGGATTGTTAGGTATTGTTAAAGCTGGGATTTATTTTCATCGATTTTTGAATCATTTTTTGAATCTCCACAACAATTATATTACAATTTCGAAACGCTGTTTGAAATATTGAAATGATATAAAAAAAGCAAAATAAAGTGTACTAGAGTGGAGGAGAAAATGAAAGTTGATTGAAGCAACGAATATAATGCAAACAGTAAAAGAATGAAGGTAATCCTTGAATTATTTTTTGAATCTCCACAACAGTAATTATATTACAATTTCGAATCGCTGTTTGAAATATTGAAAGGATATAATAAAACGAAATAAAGTGTACTAGAGTGGAGGAGAAAATGAAAGTTAATTGAAGCAACGAATATAATGCAAACAGTAAAAGAATGAAGGTAATCCTCGAATTATTTTTTGAATCTCCACAACAGTAATTATATTACAATTTCGAATCGCTGTTAAAAAAATTGAAAGGATATAAAAAAGCAAAATAAAGTGTACTAGAGTGGAGGAGAAAATGAAAGTTGATTGAAGCAACGAATATAATGCAAACAGTAAAAAAATGAAGGTAATCCTTGAATTATTTTTTGAATCTCCACAACAGTAATTATATTACAATTTCGAATCGTTGTTAAAAAAATGAAAGGATATAAAAAAGCAAAATAAAGTGTACTAAAGTGAAGGAGAAAATGAAAGTTGATTGAAGCAACGAACATAATGCAAACAGTAAAAGAATGAAGGTAATCCTCGACAACAGGATCATTTCTAATGCGACGAAATCCCGACGAAGTTAATCTTTTTCCGAGTTTCCCGCGAATAATTCATGACTTGCGGACCGTCAATGGCTCCTATTCAAGAATTTTTCGAGCCCGGGATTCGGCCAACCGGCCGGTCCCTCGCCGGCCATCCGAAATTCCCTCCTAAGGGATTCGAACGTGCTAAGAATCCCCAGGAAGCGGCGTCGATGCGAATATATCTCTGTCGAGAATTTCATCCTAGTTGAATTAAACATTGGAGGTCCTCGGGAATTTCTATAAGTTCATTAGCATTTGATCCGGAAGCTGTTTTGTTTCTCGAAAGTGTTTCGCTACTTGGATCAGGGTAAAAATTCCGATGGCGTTTTAGGGTTACGTTTTTATTTCGCTACCCTTTTAGAAAGTTAAATAAAGATTTGAGTTTGCTCTTTAAACATTTCCTGTTTTAGAAATTGGTATAAATAGGTTAAATTTTGAACGTTTAATATGGAAATTGGTAAAAAAATATTGCAAATTGATTCAGTATGTTAATAATTACAGGTCATTTATTCGATACACTGCTAAATTGCCTTTAAAATATTCATAAGTTAATTTACAAGGGTGATTGGATAGGCAAATAAAAACCGGTGATTGTTTTCGAAAGAGACATGATTTGTATAATAATAACCCTCGTATAAAATGCTCAATCTACAAAATAATTCGATTTTTGAATTATGTTATATACACGTGCAAAAGTTTTCGAAATACTTTATCTCGAATAGAGCCATTCGTTGATGGGTAGATCTTCCTCTTTCATTCCATTTTTTCCATTTCTGTAGCCGGACACATTTCGCACTCCGATACTATCTGGAGTAATGTTTTTCGTCGAGTTTTATATTGTCACCTTTTTCGGGTTTACGTCTTAAACCCAAAATCTTTCCAGATTTATTGACACAATCTTCGGGGGACGGAAAAATTGTAGTTTCCTCGCAGGATCGGTGCGAGAGCGCTAAAATTTTATCTCGGCGATATTATAAATAAAAATGCCGGTTTCAGGACGGTTTTCTCCCGCAGAAATTCAACAAAAGAATTTCTAGATAACATTAGAATGCAGGTTTCTCTTGTTCATTTAATGCTCTCTAGTTTAAATGTATTGCATTTGGGGATCGTTTAAGAATGGATTAATAAAAATAGTTCGACACAAAATCGGTTTTCTTGTAGTAAGTTGGGAAAAGTCGACCCACTTTTTGAGCCACAATGATATAGATAAAAACAATAGGAGCCGATTCTGCCCGTGATATATGGATCTTCGTGATGTTTCGAAAAATTCGGAATGGGACTCGCAGCTACTTTGAAACTTACAATTCCCAAATGTGAAATTTATAGCGCGCTTTCTCAGTCCGGCGTCCCCTGCCAAATGCAGTTTCGAAAATTGAAATTTTACGATTGCAATTTCTCCCGATGTCGTTCCATCGCGAAACTCCCTGTGTGTTTTTTTAATTAAATCTAATCGATACATCCATCGGACGATTTTAACTAAATTATTTTTTGTATCAATCAACAACAAACAGGCGTCGAAGTTTAACACAATCGCCGTCTATCCCCGCGTCATGACGGGTTAAAAACAGATCATTTTGGAAATTCCGATCGGCCTGCAATCCGCACAAAGCCCCGCTAAAATCCGTGTTCGCCATCGAGCTACATTCCGCAATGTACAATGTTTTTACAGCCGGCCGTCATAAATTAGAACGTTTCACATAACATTTAGCTGGGATCGTCCCGGTGACAGGACTAAATGTACTGTTTAACATTCGAGCCAATTCCTGCGGTTGAACATCCGCGGGAATGGTATAAAAGATGCCGGCGAATGTAAAGATGCTTTATTACGTTTCGTTTTTATTTCCTTGCATTCTGGTATAAACAGAACCGCTCCTGCAATTTTGTTAATTAAGGAAACTCGCGTGAATTAGCAGGAGTGAGGAAGTTTCTCCAATTATCATAAAAATAACTGTATTATTCTATTGATAATTCTATTGATTTAATTCCAACATATCGCCTAAACCGAAGACCTGATGTAAAACTGAATACCTCTTGTAGGGCTTTTTAACCGGAAAATATAAACCAGGCGTTCACAACATGGTGCGCTCGGGACCAATTAATTCGAATCGTTATACCCTTGAAGGGATATTACCCGAAAATTCTCATATTTACGGACGTAATAAAATGCCAGTATTTAATCTGGCCCGTTATAATCCGCGTGTATCGTATACATTAAATTATGTCGGCGCCGAATAAAAGCGTTCTGGAAGTTAATAAGTGATAACTGAAAAAAATAATATTGAAACCGGTGGAATTGTATTGGAGCTATAATTCGGTTATTATATCAATTGGAAACCTTTTATTCATATAGCTTTGTAACACAATAGAATGGATTTATTAACACGAAAATAAATTTATCTGAGAGATAGAGAAGCACATACAACTGATAAAAGATTTGTTGTATAGCAATTTAATTAAAACTACAACTTATTATAGAGAAATCCAAATTTGATTAAATTATTACCGATTAATGCGAGATTATTTTACATTCGGAATTCCATAGAACTCGATAATTAATAAATTCTATCAAACTAAACCCATCGAAATCAACGTAAACAACATTTCCTCTTCGCTCTATTCGAAACAAACAAGCAAACAAATTCATCGAATGGAATTCATTGTACACCAAAAGGTGTTAATAATATTGAGAAGCTAGAAATTGTAGAGGTTTGATGAATAATTTCGAATGTCTATAACACACAAAGTGCGTATCACTAGCTAAAGAGGTTACTGTGTTTGATGATAAAGCTATAATAGCATTATATCAAAGCTCAGTAAGTAATCTCTAAAGCAATCTATCAATGCGGGATTTGCATCGATTGACTTTGTCTAGCTGAGAAAATCTGATGAACTATCTAAGGCTAATCAAATGTATTATTTCATCAAAATCAATCTGTAGTAAAATATATGTTGAATTACATTACATATTGTGTTAATCCAACACATACTAAATTGCAAGACAGTAGTGGACTAAATTAAAGCTAAAATTGTATGAATGATTTTAAGGATATTTCTTAAATTAAGTAGAAAAAATTTGTCCTAAATCCTTTTCGAAAATCTGATGAACCATCGAAAGCTAATCAAATGTATATTATTTCATCAAAATCAATCTGTATAGACTTGATAGAAGGCTAAAATTGTATGAATGATTTTAAGGATATTCCTTAAATTAAGTAGAAAAACCGGAATGATTTGTCGCAAATCCTTTTCGGTATGGAATGGATTTTCGTTTTGTGAAAATATGCAGATCCTGCACTGGGATTTTCGATCAAAATCCGCCATTCGATATTAGTGTCATTTTCCACGCCTGACTACTTATCAGGTTTATTTACGACCCCGAAAACTAATCGAATGTTTTAAATTTACGGGTGCGGGTTACATACAGTGGAAAATGGTAATACAATAGGGGTAATGGACTGAATAATAATAAATAAATATCGTGGGTTTTTTTTGTAAAAAGTTAGTAAAAGGCGTTATTTTACATTTCCAAAATTGGGATTTCGAAATTTTATGTACATGATGAGGTTTTTGTTCGAAATTTGGACTATTTTTGGACGAAATTTCATCGTATGTAAAGGTTGTTATAGCTACTATATTTACATAATACTAGTGCATTTTATGTATTCGAATAAACGGCTATTTTTGTTGGATTTTATGTTGATGAAAAAAAGAATTTAACGAATTCATATATTTTTCGAACAAGCATGATTTTGAAAGAATGCAAATTACCAATGCGACAGCAATGCATGCATTTATTATTCTATTTAAAGATGAACTTCAATAAAAGCAGCTTTATTTTTAACCTATTTATTTATTTATATTATATTGCTACAAGGGAAAACCTGATCGAATTATAAATTCCATACATTTTATTATTAAATATCATATCAAATTTAGTAAATAACTAATTATATTATGCATTGGATGCTTCATTAAATGTGTGAAGGATAATTCCAATTACGAAGTTAAAATGGCAAAGAGAAAGTATTTTTTCGAGTTCCCAGGATAACTTCATATTAGAATAATGATTATAACCGTGAAAGAACAACCGAACAATCTAGAGATAATCCAACTTTCCGACTCATCGTGCTATAAAAAAATTTAGAAAGATCCCAATCTCCACGACTTAGGCTCTAGTGCGAATTCAAAAAAATGAGCGCTGAAAAACGTTTTAATTTAGATTTCCGGAGATACCTGCAAGAGGAACGTTTAATTGGAAAGTTAAGAAAAATTTAAAAAAAGATTACGGACCCTCTACTTCATAAGTCTCCAGGAAGTTTCTTCACCTTAACTGAAATTTCAAGCATTGTACTTTAAAATGTTTGAAGTAACTCAATCTTACGTTCTTTTACTGAGGTTAATTATGTTTGAATGATCGATATGAAAGTTATAAAGATCATAGAAGTAAATTATAGCATCAAATAAATTCCTGGTCAGTAAAATTAATTTCTTTGCAAGAGTATAACTGCATAAATCCGTTGCGTTTGGTACACTATCTAGAGCAATATCCGTTACTGCACCGGCCAAATTCAATTTCGTCCTCGCTTAGAAAGAGATTAGTTTTACTCAAAAGGGATTACGTTACATTAAATTTTCATACACACACACAGTAAACTAATAATAACTTCGATACACCAAACTCGACACCATTCCTGTCATCGTTTTATAAAATTTCTGTATTGTAGAGTTGATTTATTTAAGCATAGAATCGTATGATATTGTTGCTAAAAGATAAGTCGAGTAAAATCTCTAATTTTTAACTAATATAGCGGTTATGTTAAGGCTACAATCGGTAGGTTGTGTTTAAAAAATGGTTGTTATTACTGCGCATGTGATCGATCATTTTAAATGAATACCTACACTGATCGATCATCCGATAATAATCAGTTCTATTGCAAGGATGCTTTGGAAAAGAATGTTAAGTAAAACATAAATTTTAAAATAAATACAGCTATTTTTGCCAATCTGTATATTGCATTTTGAATTTTTTTTAGGATTAACAAAGAGTTACATTAAAGTTGGAGGAATATTTATTAATAGTATTTTAATCGGTCTGACTAATTTTACTCGCTCGTGGTGAAATTTTCTTTTATTGTTTTAGTAGTTAATAAGATCTAATAATTAATAATAAATTATACCTAAAATCGTCCACTTCTGATCGGTTATACCGCAACAACCAACACCGGAAAACTTCCGTTCACTTGGAAAACTACTCGAAAAACACTTTTTGGAACTGTCACAAACTCGAAATAACAAATCCAAATCCAGTCTCGCGCTCGGATTTCCCCCGTTCGCGATCACATCTTCACTTGCGGCGGAACCGGGGAAAATCTCTTCGCCGTGGAAACGGCCAAATCGCGCGAGGAAAATGCGGCGCCGGGCGTCGTGGAAAGCTCGGGCGTCGCGACGGTCGACGGCGTACTGCTGGGCAGGCCCAGCCTCGCGATTACCAGCGCCTCCGGAGCAGGAACGCGGAATGCTGCTGAACTAAGATCAGTTCTGCTTTTTCGCATCGCTGATTTTTTTTTTTTTTTAAATAAAGCCTTTTATTACCTAACTATAATTGATGTTTGTATAAGGTAGACTGGGGCAAATCGGTTGTAAAATTTGTATAGTTCAAATTAAATCCTCAAATGTGGCTTTATTTTTTCTCTTATTAGAAATGATGATACCACATTAAATTCACAACTTCCTAAACTATAGAATCGAGGTATTAAAAAGTTTTTTTTGAAAGAGGAAGAAAACGATTTTACAGATTTTTTAAAATGTTGACAATATGTTACATTTACCCCATTACATTTACCCCCCTTTCTAAAGAGACAATATACAATTATATAAAAAACATATGGGGTAATTGTAAATACATATTTGGTTCCTCTAAAATTTGATATGCTATTTATTTATTTATTTCAAAAAATAAAAGAGCTACAAAATAATAAAGAAAAAATAAGAAACAAACCCTGTCTAATACACAAAAGAACTATAAAAATAATAAAAAAAACATTAACATAATAGGTAAAAATATTACATTAACCCCATTTTTACATTTGCCCCAGTCTACTCAAAAAGTTTTCAATTATTTTTTAATTAAATCCTGAACGAATTACGTTAAAAAAATAAATAGTAGATATATGAACTTGCTCGTATTTGACCGTAAACTATTTGTTCAGTTTATGTTATACAGAGGGGTATTTTAATTTCCGTTTATTTTTAATCAAAATTCATGATTGTCCTCAGGGCAACCGTTCATCAAAGTAAACATTACACAAATGTAAATTTATCGCTTTTTCTATATCTAAACTAATGTTTAGATTGTTTCGTAAATATTCAGTAACAAACACTAGGCGTGTAGCGTCAAATAATAAAAAAAAAATTGAGACTATTTACCAACTATTACCAGCTAAGAGAATTAACTAATGTAGACTGGGGCAAATGTAAAAATGGGGTTAATGTAATATTTTTACCTATTATGTTAATGTTTTTATTATTTTTATAGTTCTTTTGTGCATTAGACAGGGTTTGTTTCTTATTTTTTCTTTATTATTTTGTAGCTCTGTTATTTTTTGAAATAAATAAATAAACAGCCTATCAAATTTTAGAGGAACCAAATATTTATTTACAATTGCCCCATATGTTTTTCTATATAATTGTATTGTACTATAGAACTGTTTATTACATTTATTACAATTTCTAGCTTCTCAATATTATTAACACCTTTTGGTGTACAATGAATTCCATTCGATGAATTTGTTTGCTTGTTTGTTTCGAATAGAAGCGAAGAGGAAATGTTGTTTACATTGATTTCGATGGGTTTAGTTTGATAGAATTTATTAATTATCGAGTTCTATTGAATTCCAAATGTAAAATATTCTCGTATTAATCGGTATAATAATAATAATTTAATCAAATTTGGATTTCTCTATAATAAGTTGTAGTTTTAAATAAATTGCTATAAGGTAGACTGGGGCAAATGTAAAAATGAGGTAAATGTAATATTTTTACCTATTATGTTAATGCTTTTATTAATTTTATAGTTCTTTTGTGCATTAGACAGGGTTTGTTTCTTATTATTTCTTTATTATTTTGTAGCTCTGTTATTTTTTGAAAAAAATAAATAAACAGCATATCAAATTTTAGAGGAACCAAATATTTATTTACAATTGCCACATATGTTTTTCTATATAATTGTATTGTCTCTTTAGAACGGGGGTAAATGGAATGGGGTAAATATAACATATTGTCAACATTTTAAAAAATATGTAAAATCGTTTCCTCCTTTTTCAAAAAAAACTTTTTAATACCTCGATTCTTTAGTTTAGTAAGTCGTGAATTAATTGTGGTATCAGCGTTTCTAATAATCGAAAAAATAAAGCCACATTTTAGGATTTAATTTGAACTATACAAATTTTCCAACCGATTTGCCACAGTCTACCTTACACGAAACACTTTTTTTAATATAAACCAAGACTATTTCTAATTCAGCGAAGGTCGAAAACGGCTTTATCCCGGCGTTAGTTCAAAGTGACAGAACGGAAATCAGAGTCGCGAGAACATGTTTTGCGGCGTGTAGTGAAAAAAAGCAAGTCGGGCGTGACTGGAGCTCCTGCGATGTGACTCCATTTCCCGGGGCTTAATGCGATGTTACATTTCTCCGATAACTTACTTTTGTTATACATTTTAATTGAGTCGGGACCCGCCCGGACATGTTTTATCATTTTTTTCGGACAGGGATGTAGCCAGGGAAGCGATAAAAAGTTTCGGGTATCGTCGAAGGAAAGTTTTCGAAATCGCGTTGTTAGTTATTTCGTAATACAACGGAAAAAACAGCGTGATTAATAAGTAATTAGATACTGTTATTGTTGATGTAATTAACAAGTTTTTAATAACTTGATATAACGAAAATGAATTTCTTTTAAATATTTCGATTACGGTCCTTTCTTTAGTCGCCAAAAATTCAAATGTGAAGTATGCTTCTGATGGTATCTTCCAATCTGTTCGCTTCGTCTGGACGATTTCACATAAAAAAATATTTATTACTTAGAGGGGAATTGTCTGTGTTTATACAAATCCAAATTCGCAAACTTTCGAATCGAAGCAACTGGATTATTTTCGAGCGATTTACCGGCGATCCTAAACCCCCCTTTTTAGCATGATGTATTAAATACAGTCCTTTACTTCGAAATCATCACTTATTATTTCATACATTCGAGCGGGTCGCAGGATTAGCAAACGCGAAATGTATTCGGCTTTCTATCACAACATAAAATGAATTCTGCAGGAATCGTAATTAATTTAGGCGTCCGCGACCGGAGGGTATTTCATGTTCATTTACCGGAATGAATATCATACTATGTAATCACAGGGAATTGATCAAACGGAAGATAATTAGTGGACATAGATATGTGTAGTGGAGGAATAAATTTTATTTCACAGAATGCCTACTAAACTTATACGAGTAATTAGTGTGGTTTTGTTCGAGTTCAGGTTTTGCAGGATACTTCTTTTACAAATTAATTTAAGGTAGACTGGGGTGAATGTAAAAATAGGGTAAATGTAATATTTTTACCTATTATGTTAATGTTTTTATTATTTTTATAGTTATTTTGTGCATTAGACAGGGTTTGTTTCTTATTTTTTCTTTATTATTTTGTAGCTCTGTTATTTTTTGAAAAAAATAAATAAACAGCATATCAAAATTTAGAGGAACCAAATTTGTATTTACAATTGCCCCACAATGTTTTTCTATATAATTGTATTGTCTCTTTAGAAAGGGGGGTAAATGTAATGGGATAAATGTAACATATTGTCAACATTTTAAAAAAATATGTAAAATCGTTTTCTTCCTTTTTCAAAAAAAACTTTAATACCTCGATTCTTTAGTTTAGGAAGTTGTGAATTTAATGTGTTATCAGCATTTCTAATAAGAGAAAAAATAAATCCACATTTTAGGATTTAATTTGAACTATTCAACCGATTTACTTCAGTCTACCTTACAACAATTTTTCCAAAATTTAATCAGTTATTTGTCTCTTTTATTTTCAAACTGGGCTATCATTTATAATAACAAATTTACTCATACTTGTCTCTAAGCAAGAAAATTCTATAAATTACAGGATTTAACAAACCGCAATTGTATTTAAATTTTTTTTCGGTTCAGAGATCAGATTTAAATTGCTAATTTTTTTTCAAAAATTTATTCGATACACCTAATTTGTGTATTTCGTCCTACCTTTATCAATTTTATTTTATACCTATCTGATAATGCACCAAAACAAACATTTTATTAGAACCGCGGCATTTGCGGTAAAAAAAAATCAGATATTCGCTTTCCTAAATAAATTATTGACCTGGTCCGGACCCCAAACGTACAAATATTGACTCGAAGTCCTCAAATAAAATCGTATCGCTTTATATTCCGAGCGGTTCTCCAAGAAAAAGATATAATAAAATGTTTTTTGGACTGTATCCTTGTAGCACAGAACATATTTTAGATGTATTTCGTAAGATATCCTTCCATTTTTCACTCTCCTGTTGTAAACACTAGATAAAGCGAACGGAAACAAATCAGATTACAAAACTCTGTTTAAAACATGTTTCGTTAAAATATGAATTACAAATTGATAACGATGTTTATCTTTATTAAAATAATGTTTCGGTTAAACCAACGATTCTGGTTCGAAAAATCGAATTCAACTTAATTACCCACCTGAGAAGATAAAACCAAACAAACAATTTCAAACTGATTTATTTGCATGCCTACGCGACGTATCAACGAAAATATGTTTCCAACAGGAGTTTCAATAAATCATTTGGTGGAGAAGATAAATGGATAGCAAACAATTTTTATGAATGTTCCGAATCATTCCGCTTTGACCAAACTACATTTAGGAATTAATCGGATATATTGTTTTGAAAAATACAATAATTTAGCAAGCCCTTCGAATTCGTAAATATAGCAGAAGATACATAATTTATTGAAGAAATAAGATGGTATCTTAAAGCAAATAGTATCAGTAAAAACTTTGATTTTAGATAAGAATTTAAGAGATACAATTTAAGATATACAATGCTTCGAAAATCACATTAAAATACAATAATCGAAGCAATTATTAAATCTAGGGTTTAATAAAAACACAATTGTTGCTACAGGTTATTGGAATAATCGCCTAATGTTAATTATGAATTTTAATGAGAACTAATGGGAATGGGATTAGTCGGTTAGGTATATAAATTCACGCTGGATGTTCGATATTTCACAGTTCAATAGAAGTGTTCAATATGTTTCGATCGGTATTAGGACTTGCTGCTCTCATCAGCTGCGTTTGCGTGAGCTATGGATTTAGTAAGTAATATTTCAAATTATTTAATATATTAAAAAAATTCAAAAATAATCAATAATTTTTAGCCCTACTGAATGCAGGCGGATACGTTCCTGTAGTAGTTAACAAAGCTACTAACAAATCCTACTATTTAGCCGACAATGTTGTCGTAAGTTGAATTTATCCACACAGATTTACCAACAGAAAAAGTTATATTAATTTATTTACCAAAATCCAGGCGAACTTCTACCAAGCTAGCCAACTTTGCAAAGACATTGGAATGCGTTTAGTATCCATACCTGATAAGGATGTTCAAGAGTTCCTCTTCCAAACTGTTAACAGCGCAAGTAAGTAATTTCTAGCAAAGAGCACCTACTGCATTTCAAATGTATCAATATTTAGACACGAAAACTCGTTACTGGTCGTCTGGAACCAACCTAGTCGATGGTAAAAATTGGGTTTGGCTCTCCGCGGTAAAACCAGTGGTCTACACCGATTGGTTACCCGGTCAACCAGACTCTGCAGCTGAACATTGCATTGAACTACAGTTGCAGAAGAACAAAGGTCTCCAATGGAACAATTACAACTGTGACGTTCAACAGAACTTCATTTGCGAATCACCCGATGTCGATGAAGATGGGAAAGTCGTCGCAAACAGTAAATCTATTTAATCATTTTACATAAAAAACACTGAATTATATATTTTAGATTGGCTTGGAGCATTCGCTGATCCAACAATATCACCCAACTTCCCCGTTTTCAATTACAACAAGAACAGTTACTACATTGGAAATCAAGTAGCATTAGTAAGTCTAAAATTACATCTATTTTAATACTACATAATTTAAATATAAAACTTTAAATTAGTCGTACTTGGATGCTTCGAGATTTTGCGAATACATCGGCATGGAATTGGTCTCGATTGAATCAAACGAAGAAAACATGTACCTTCACAAATACCTCAGAGACACCGGTAATTCCTGCTCCACGAAACCGTTTAGAGAGCTATAAATGTTTTTTCTAGTTGCTGGAACTTCGTTCTGGTCCGGAGGCAGTCGACTTATCGACGGAATGAACTGGTACTGGCTACCTTCCGGTCGTAAAGTAACTTATACCAAATGGTTGCCGAACGAACCTGGCTCGAAAACCGAGCACTGCATTCAATTGCAATTCCAGAGGGACCAAGGATTGTTCTGGAACGATTTGCCCTGTACCAACGCTCAGAATTTCATTTGCGAAGCTCCCACCAGCAAAATTGCGCAATGTCCTGTACAAGGTAAGAAAATATATATTACACGATGGATTCTCTCAACGCAATTATTGTATTAGATCATCAGTGTAACGGACAAAATGAACACTGTGGGAAACCAACGAAGCAAACCAAATATCACTTGGTAAAGGAACAGGTAAATTTCGGTTGCTGTTTAGTTGCTTCAAATGGATAATATTTCTTTGTACTATCTTTAGGTTTCTTATAATAGTGCTGTTAAACAATGCCAAGATATTGGAATGGAATTGTTGAGCATTCAGAACAAAGCAAAGCAAATTGCTGTAGATAAATTCATCACAGAGTCATGTAAGTACTTGATTTTTTTATTTTCTTATGAAAATAGATCAATTTTTGGTCTATTCTAGCATACACCAGCTGGATTTGGACCTCGGGTAACAGAATAGCCGATCAGAAGACGTGGAGATGGTTATCAGGAGAACCGATTTCCGAATTTTTCTGGTACGAAGGAGAACCCAACAATCAAAAGGGAAACGAAGAATGCATTTCGATTGGCAAGAAGACAGGGGGATCCGCTTGGAACGACGCCCCCTGCGATGCTAAGAATTATTACATTTGTGAAGCAGAAGAAATCGTGAATAACAACGATAATAACAGCAATTGCGGTTGTCAAACACCCGCTATTAATGTTTACATCGATACCAACAAGCAAAAAGAGGTGAATGTGCTTAATTGAATGAAATTTGTGGAGAAAATTAAATATATTGATATAAATTGAATATTTTTTTTATTTCATAGTAATTTTGTATGTATTATAAGGCGTAGATACCTTACAGAGAAGAAATTTTGATGCTTCGATGAGCAACACATTAAAAATATTGTTAATACTGTTAATAAAACAGAAACAATATTAATTCATCTGGAACGAGATCTTCGATTTCTGCATCAGTTACTCTGATCTTTGAAGTACTATTCTAAATATTGCAACGACAAATATCATTCGAACTATATATTTTTTAGTAACTATCAGTAACGCCAATGTCTATATGGGTGTAAAATACTCCTGCTGTAGGCTGGGCGATTGTAAAAGTACAAAGTATGTCAATATACCTCGATAACTGCCGCGATACTCCAGCAACCAATCAATCATGACAAGGTGATATTTATTGAAGGCACTTTTATCGTCGGAAAGCATTTCTGATTTTTCATATAAATTGACAGATACACGTCGGAAAATAAAACCCAACGAAAATTCAGATTTTCCCTGTTGCCTTGCAAACGATATTAACGATATATTTGTTAATTTTTTTTCGTTAAATCATCATTTAAATGTAAAACGAATCTATATAGCGCGTTTAAATGAAATGCATAAAATGAACAAACTATTAATTGCTATAAAATATTTTGTGGTAAGTTCGCTCTACATTATTAATTCGCCTACATGAGCTTTTATTAAAACTATCGTTTCATACAAGAAATAGTAGAGCATCGTTCTACTGGGAATAATTAAGGTGGATTTAACAAAAGCCGGCATTAATAACGGTATTAATATCTTCTTCATATCTGAACAATAAGGAATATTCTCGTGGTTCTTTTATCCTCCATTCCGGTCAATTGAACGAATGTCGAAAGTCTTAATTCTGCTACATTAAGCAATACGGCCGAACAGTATTACGATAATAAAAGAACTATAAAAATTGCAGACCTTTTAAGTTTTTTTTCTTGTCGAAATGAAATATCTTCTACCATTAAGTTTTCAATAAAAACCACTATATTTTTGAACGACTTCAACCGTATAGGTGAAAAAGTACCCGTTTTATTGCTATACACTATTAAAAAGTGCAACTCAAGAAAACTAATTAATTTTTATAATGCTCAAACAGGAAAATAAGCAAAACTCAATCAAGCTTGTTTACGTGATCGAAACTTGATTTAATTAAGCACATATTAATTAGGAAAGTTTACCACCGAACAATCTACTTTGCGATGTGATCCAACCCGTCGGAAATTATTGCAAGAATTACAAAATGACAGAATATTGAAATGGGTAAACCAATAAACGTTCTATCGGCTTTCTGTCGAAGTTTCGAGCATACCGAAACCGCTGTAACCCATCCTCAGTCGACTTTTACAACGCGAAAGAACAATTTATCGAAAATGTATTCCGATAAACGGAATTTCTATCGAGCCGAGATTAAAATTCACGAGTTTTTCGACGATCTCGTCGCCTCCCGAAGTGCATTTATCCGAAACTCCAACGGAGAAATTAGGGTCGTTGATGCGCCAAGCCAGAAATTTTCTCTTTCCGATGCATTGAATCCTGCTCAGGACACATCCACCAACCGACTGGAGAGAAATCAATGACTAGTGTGATATATAAGGCATAAGACGTCGTTAAGGTGAAGAGCGAGGTCGCTGTTCACGAAGGGTTAACATTTTCGCATTAGAATTGCTTCCAGTTCCAAAAAATTCTTTAACTTCATCAATAACAATTATATTATTCTAGCTAATTTTACGCAAAACATAATACATCTCCATCTCTATAACCGATAATAGAGCTTTAATACAGCAGAGTTGAAAAATTAGAATCAGTTTTTGTAACAAACTGAAATTTGGTAATTCGCATTAGAATTGCTTCCAGTACCAAAAAATTCTTTAACTTCATCAATAACAATTATAATATTCTAGCTAATTTTACGCAAAACATAATACATCTCCATCTCTATAACCGATAATAGAGCTTTAATACAGCAGAGTTGAAAAATTAGAATCAGTTTCTGTAACAAACTGAAAGTTGGTAATTCGCATTAGAATTGCTTCCAGTTCCAAAAAATTCTTTAACTTCATCAATAACAATTATAATATTCTACCTAATTTTACGCAATACATAATACATCTTCATCTCTATAACCAATAAGTGCTTTAATACATCAGCGTATAAAATTTTGTCGCTACCATCTTGTGAAATAACCATTTATTCGACGCAGTTAAAGTGAAGAGTTACACTCGAAGAAGTCATCAAGCCATTGATTGACGTCAGAATGTTGGGAAGAGGGCAAGATGGCATTCGAGAGGGCACTCAGCCTTTGGTCCATTAGCCATATTTTTTATTAGGAAACAAAATCAAAATGGATGCGAAGCGGATATTGAAATTGTTATAACAAAAACGCCTGTTAGAGATTTACTGGAAGAAAAAAAAAACAAGAGTGTTGGTAGTTCATATAGGTATTTCGCCGAAACGAATAAGGAACAGGCAATATCAATTTAAACGGCGTATTTTTCCGAAAGATATTTACTTTCGAGAGAGCGAAGAAAAAAAGAAAATAACATCCGCTCGAATCCCTATTGTCTCAACGAAATTAAACGCATTGTTTAGGTCCGAGCACGCACCGGAATGAATCAAAACGAAGTATCATCCGACAATGAAACGGGAAGGGAAAAGAGCGATAACGCCAGAAAAAAACTATTTTATCCTAAACGATGAAAATTCATCACCTCTTCAGTTTATGCGAGGGAAGATCTACGGCGGCCATTTCCCTTGATTAAGTAAAGCTCCCGCCGGGGACGGAAAAAGCGCCGGAGACAAAGATGCAAAGTGGTTTAAGAATATCCTGTCGGGTCACCCCCAAATAGGATTATATGTTCCTTTGGTCTGCGCTCAATCCGCGCCCTATATAAACTTATAAATTTGTCTTCCGCCGGAGCTTTGTGTACAAGTTAAATGCTTAAACGAGCCCGACTTTCGACCTACCAGGGCGATAATTTTGATAGTGAGACAGGGAACTAATTCGCTTTTATTTTCGGTGGTTTGCAATTAGTTTTCCCGGAGGTTTTTTAATTACACTTCTTCTTCATCTTCTTCCTTTGTTACATATTAAGCTCTATTAAACTGTTTTTTTGAGCTTTAATTGTAGGTACTAAAGAAATATTTATTAGGGCTTTAAATCGGCGATTTTGGATAAATATCATTCGATAATCGAATGCAAATCTGGCGGTTTTTGCATCTCCTGTCGAACTGTAGATGATACCACAAACGATTTCCATAATAAAACAATATTTTCCTTTATACTTTGTATATTTACTCCGGAAATCTCTTCTCGTAGGTAGGCATATAAAAAAATTAAATTTTTACGTACGTTTTTACTGCGGGACCTAAAAAATAACATGTATCGCTCGAATCCTCTGCTTCCTGCTATCTTTTATTCGGGGGGTTATTTTACTTGAAAAAAATACAATGGCACTAAAGTAAATCACAATAGAAAATCAGGTCCTTTGTGGGAAGGATTGCGGGAATTTACGACACGCCCATGTTGTATAACAATTTTATAGCTGCAGCCCTTCCGTTGGGCGAATTTGTTTTGCACGAATTTACACTAACAGGAATTTTATTAGTAAATTACCAATCGGTTAAAATATTATTTAGCAACTTAAAAACCCGAATCATCAACCACCTATTATTATGAAGTTCGTTAATTCCGGTTAATTGGGCTCAAAACAATATTGAGCCTCCGTTCGAATTGATTCGCTATCCACTAGAGCGGGTTTCAGGCACTCAAACCGGCTCGACTGTATTGTTTCCGGAGAATACCGGATTAAAAGGTGCTTATAGAAAATTTGTAGATGAAGGGCACCAGACGAACTCTCTCTATTTTCAGTTCTTTTAAGGAAAATTCTCCGCAAACATCCGATCCTAATTGTAAGCCAACAAAGCAAAGAATTCAAGAGCGATCGATTTTCCAGGAATAGTAGGTAGGTAAACAGCATAACCTACTTCAGTTTAGAAACAATGAAGATTGAGGGAGTTAACTTTAATGTATAATGAAAACCCCGCGAGGCAACTTAATGATGATTGAAAATCACATAATGAGAGATTATGAAAAAAATATTTAGCTCCCGATACAGCTGATTAAATAGTTCATTAAATAGTTATTACATTTGATATTCAATTTGGTTGGTTCTGAGGAAAGTATCAATCCGAATGTGCGGTGAATCTTAACGATAATCCGTTATATTTCGATATTATACATACTGGGTGGAGTTGTACCCTTCTGAAATTTGGGTTTTATTGGGGTCTATTGATTGGAAGCTGCTACCCCATTTGAATGGAAATCGCTTCCTTATATAACTCGATGGCAATTTTTTCCTTTTTAAACTTCCCGAGGAATATGTTTGAGCCGAACTTTCCACTTATAGAATTTTCGTTATTTCACTCGTTTTTTTTTTGTTTTGTTTTGTCGGCAAACAGTGGAAATCGGAAAATGAGATTAGGTAAAAGGGGAATTGGGTCACAGACTTTAGTAAGGAAATTGCAAAATCTGAGAAGCACTGGTTTTCGGTATAATAAATATTTTATGAAAACATAGAACGATAATTAAAATCCTGATGTAATAAATTTATATGTATGTTATATTGAAACAAATATGGGGCTTTTTGCGATTCGTGTCATTTATTATTTACTCTACTTCACTATATTTACTATTATATTTAATGAAAACTAGTAATATTGCAAAATTATGTATCTATATATTATTAAAAGTAAACAAAACATCAATTTGTAGCTTATATCTTTCAATCGGATTCCGATTATAAATCTCGTTTAGGTGATGTTTAAAAAAATAACGAATTTATTTTGAAAAATGATCGGTTTTTGCGGTGTCGAAACTCAATTATACGGGACCGCCCTGGTCGTTTGAAAAATTGATTCTGTCACACAAGAAATTTGCTTTAATATCTCAATCGGAAGTCTCGACGACAGCGTTTTATTGCAACTGGAAATA